GGTTTTGGGGGCTCCCCAAGGGGGTCCCGGTGGTTTTGGGGGCTCCCCAAGGGGGTCCCGGTGGTTTTGGGGGGTTCCCCAAGGGGGTCCCGGTGGTTTTGGGGGATCCCCAAGGGGGTCCCGGTGGTTTTGGGGGGTTCCCAAGGGGGTCCCAGCGGTTTTGGGGGGTTCCCAAGGGGGTCCCGGTGGTTTTGGGGGTTCCCCAAGGGGGTCTCAGCGGTTTTGGGGGCTCCCCAAGGGGGTCCCGGCGGTTTTGGGGGGTTCCCAAGGGGGTCCCGGTGGTTTTGGGGGCTCTCCAAGGGGGTCCCAGCAGTTTTGGGGGGCTCCCCAAGGGGGTCCCGGTGGTTTTGGGGGGTTCCCCAAGAGGATCTCGGCGGTTTTGGGGGGCTCCCCAAGGGGGTCCCGGTGGTTTTGGGGGCTCCCCAAGGGCGTCCCGGTGGTTTTGGGGGTTCCCCAAGAGGGTCCCAGCGGTTTTGGGGGGCTCCCCAAGGGGGTCCCGGCGGTTTTGGGGGCTCCCCAAGGGGGTCCCAGCGGTTTTGGGGGGTTCCCAAGGGGGTCCCGGCGGTTTTGGGGGGCTCCAGGGTCTGTGCCAACCCCCCCGTCCCGCTCTAGGGATTTTCTGGGAACACGGGGTGGCACTGGGGTGGTGGGGGCTGGGACCCCAAAATCTGGGACCCCAAAACTGGGAGGGGAAAACTGTGGGACCCCAAAATCGGGGATCCCAAAAATGAGAGGGGGAAGCTCTGAGATTCCAAAATCTGGGACCCAAAATTTGGGGGGGGGGGGGGAACTGTGGGACCCCAAAATCGGGGACCTCAGGGAGCAGCACCCCAAAATTCGGGATGGGGTTCCCAGTCATGGTTCCCGGTCCGTGCAGAGCTCCCGGGCCCTGTTCCCGCTCCCCTTTCCTGGTCCCCGCTCCCGGCTCCCAACCCCGGTTCCCGTTCCCATTCCCATTTCCCGTTCTCGTTCCCGTTCCCATTTCCCATTCCCATTTCCCATTCCCATTTCCCATTTCCCATTCCCATTTCCCGTTCCCATTCCCATTTCCCATTTCCCGTTCCCGTTCCCGTTCCCATCCCCGTTCCCGTTCCCATTCCCATTCCCATTCCCCATTTCCCAATTCCCATTCCCATTCCCATTCCTCATTCCCCATTCCCCATTCCCCATTCCCCATTCCCCGTTCCCGTTCCCGTTCCCGTTCCCATTCCCATTCCCATTCCCCATTTCCCAATTCCCATTTCCCATTCCCATTTCCCATTCCCCGTTCCCGTTCCCGTTCCCATTCCCATTTCCCATTTCCCATTTCCCGTTCCCATTCCCATTTCCCATTCCCATTCCCATTTCCCATTTCCCATTTCCCATTTCCCATTTCCCGTTCCCGTCCCTGTCCCCGTTCCCGTTCCCGTTCCCGTTCCCGTTCCCATTCCCATTCCCATTCCCCATTTCCCAATTCCTATTCCCATTCCCATTTCCCATTCCCCATTCCCCATTCCCGTTCCCGTCCCGGCTCCGTCCCGGCTCCGTTCCGGCTCCGTCCCGGCTCCGTTCCGTGTTTTCCAGGGGGCGTGTCCCGCGGCAGCGCCCCCTGGCGGCGGCGGGCGGACGGGCCAAGATGGCGGCGGAGCCGGGCCCGGGCGCGGGGCCGGACGCGGAGCTGGAGGAGCTGCTGGAGAGTGAGGGGGCACCGGGGCACCGGGGAACCGGGGCACCGGGGGAACCGGGGGAACCGGGGGAACCGGGGGAACCGGGGGGACCGGGGGGACCGGGGGGACCGGGGGAACCGGGGGGATCGGGGTGCGGGGCGGCTGCGCGGCGTTGGGAGCCATGGGGGTCATGGGGGGGCCGGGGGTCGTGAGGGGCCTGGGGGGGGATTGGGGTGAGGGGGGGTCTGGGGGTCATTGGAGTCTGGGGGTTATTGGGGTCTGGGGTTATTGGAGTCTGGGGGGGTTGGGGTGA